CCTTGGCACAGCTCCGCGAGCCACTGCGAGAGGGCGGCAAAGAGGAGAGGGAAGGAATTTGTCAGATAGATAAAGAGCGACAGCAAAGCGGATGAGAAAAGTACACATCAAAGTGAATTGCAAGAAGGAACACCAAATTGCAGACCTCCGGTTTCTGGGTCGATCATCTTTCACATCAATAATTAGGTCCTGCTGTTTACTTTGGATCCAGTGCCGAGACACATCCTCCAGAGACGGATGGCTCATTCGGCAGCCAGGGTTCGGCAGGCAAGTCTTCCGGAGATCACTTATGTTGCATCGTCAAGTTTATTTATCCTGCCTGTGCTGAGTCAACACGGCAGCGTGATCAACGGAGTCATCACGTGACCCGCAGTGCTGTCCAGGAATGCTGTGTCGGAACAGGGTAACAGTCCATGGACAGGCTCGGAGAGAGAGCGAAAGAGGATCAAAGAAACAGACTCATAGACAGAGACAGTCAGAGAGAAATAGAGAAGGACGAAGCAATAGAGCGAGAGAGCGGAGGGGAAAGGGAGAGGGAGTTAGAGGGAAAAACGGAACAATTGAAAGCCTGCAGATAATTTCCAATGCTCGGGCCCCACCCCGCCCCTATTTTGAACACCTACTGGCCGCACACTCCTGAGCGCTCTGCCATTTGGCGTCACTTCTTCTGCGCTCTAACAGGGTGGATGTGAGGGCGCTAGATCAGCATGGCGCTTGCCACCGAATCCTGACTGCGTCCTTGCTTGCTAGTTTGCTCAACTCAGTGTTACAGCGGCTGCAGCTGCAGGAGGGCTATCTCGACTCTGTCTGTGACGGCTCATGCTGCAACGCCACATGTCTGCATGGGAACGAAAAGCATGCGAGGTTGCAAATTCGAGCATCGGGTGGACCATGGACCCAAAGCACCCTGAAGGTGACGACTTTTTCCGAACGCCATCAAGGCATAGCACTCAGGCGCCCATCACAGGCTCATCGCAGAATTCCAGGAGCCTGGTAGCCCTGCACAAGTGAGATGAAAAAAGGAAACAACTGCGAATCACTGGCTTCTAAGTGCGCCGACCACATCGTGAATGGCCAGCCCGAAGGCTCCCTGCAGGTCTGCAGCCTCCAAAACCCAAGAGCCGAAACTTGCCAAACATCGCAACTTCAAGTCTTCAGTTGTTGCGACTGCAGAATCAAGGCCCTAAGGGTGAGCATCCCATCAAGCTCGATAACTGGATGGTTATTCAACGCCATCACATTTTTCAGTTCAGATTATGTTGTAGCAGCTCTGCAGGTTCAGTCGAAACACCTGAACCGATGTCACGCTTACCCGCGAAAATCGGATCTAGAAAGCCTGCACCGACTTGTTTCTTTCTCGACTCGATTAAGGTGAGCTGGCATTCCCATGACGTGGCATCATTACCCATTACAGGCTGGGGTCTCTACGGGGCCAAGAAGCGGCTGGAGTCGTGAACCAGGACCCCAACCCGAGGCACGACACAAAGAAAATTCACCGGCTTCAGACAGATCTTTGAGCCTCTTCTTTTCGTTCATAAATTCCTGCCTTCACCATGGCTCTCGGCATGAGGTCATCCATGTTCGAAGGGAAACGGAAGACTGCGTTCTGTGACTTGTCCGCAACCTCGGCACCATGAACTTTGCCATGTTTGCATAGTATGTGGAAGCTTCCGGCGTCTAGGCATCAGGCATAGACTGTGCCGGCACCATCAGACACACACCCGCGAGGCGCCTTCCATTCGAGCAACATGCCATCTGCTTGAAAAATTTGTTCGCGTCGCTTGCAACGTCTCGTCCTGCAGGCTGGAAGAGATAGTGCGCACGACATGCCGTGACGTTGAAGCGCGGTTGATGCCATACCTCAGCGCCCAGCGGAAGCAACGGAAACTTGAACATGAATCAGAAGGGCTTCGTTTGCTAAGTTCCGCTCAAATGCGACGCTTCGTCCGTGTAGAAGATGTTCCCTGTCCAAACCATGCACCCTCCCGAACATGCACTGATGGTAATCGTCTGCGAGTACTTATCCTGCACTTTTTCTCTCGACCTTTTTCCCTAGCTGTCCATCTGTGCCAGCCTGTGCTTATTGGCTTGTTTTTTTTTCCCGCTGGGCTTCGCGTTCGGAACCGACATTTGCTGGCGCAACGATCCTTGTCCTCAGAAATTCTATGTCACTGGACAGGAACATGCGTGTGTGGTGCACATGGAGGGAGTTACGATGAGTTACGTCACCTGATGCCCACATCCACTGGCATTTAATGCATGCATGTTCGATGCTTTTATCGAGCTGCAGCAAACTAAAGTACGAACAGCAGCCGTGCTCCCGACAAGAACCTTGCCAAAGCGCCGTCGGATTTCCATTGGGGGGTAGCCTGAATACACCCCGGCTCTTTTTTCAGACCTCCATGTGATGTCCTGAATACACTCGGCAACAAAACCTTAGAACATGAGATGAAAAATCTACAGCCGCGACTTCAACATCCACACAACCATGCACCGTGACTGGAAAACTCGATAAACACACCTCAGTAAGAACCCCAGGGTGGGGGATGTGGGGATAACGTACGTACGTCCATACCTCGGGTACCTACGTACGTTAGCATGCGAGTACGTTACAGCACGCAGGTACATGAGTACGTACGCATGTACTGTACGTTGCAGCACGAGAAAAAACTTCGGGGTGGGTGGGGTATTACGTACGACGTAGGTACGTACGTACGTACGCTATTGTATGATGGGGTAGGTACGTAAGTACGTAAGTACGTATAGCACGTTATAGCATGTAGGTACTTTAGTACGTACCTACGCGGCATTTTTTTGCGGGAGGGGGGCGGTATATAACGTACATACATACATACCTTGGGTACGTGCGGTTAGTACGTGAGTACGTTTATACTATAGTACTGAAGAGTACGTGCGTATGTACGTTCCAGCACGACAAAATAATCGGGGTGGGGGGGTGGGTACGAACGTACGTACGTACGTACGTACGTTGGTGAATGTGTTGGTGCGCATGTATGTATGCATGTAAGTACGGACGTATGGGAAAGCGCACTTGGGCCTAAATGTTTTTCCTCTCTCCTTGCCTCTTCTGCACACTTTTGTGGATTCCCAAATTCAGTCGCTTAGTCATACTCTCATACGACGCCTCCGGCGAGACAGACGCCATAGCACTTGGGAGCGTTGCCGGCCAGCAGCTGCCAGGAACATGAACATGTGTTTCGAGCTGCAGAAGCGTAAGTATGGAGCACAGCATTCATCGGAAAGACAGGCTCTGTGAGTTTTAGTGGCGGTCCTTGACTCCGGCTGAAGCATTCTGGATAGTCTCGGCCTCGTGTATTTCTGATGCAGATACACGCTGAAGGCAGACTGATATCCCCCCCGAGCTGCGGACCGTGGCATATTGCAAACCTCGTATCAGTGTACCCGCCTGGCACCGATAAAGGAAATCAACGGAAAGTAACTGCAGTTCATCTCGCTTCGAGACACGGACGGGTCACGGCTCTATGATTGCAGTAGATATTCGTCGTCACAGCTTCTTGCGACATATGCTCCCACTTCACGTGCTGTCATCAATTTCGCTTGGAGCTTCTAGCTGCATCTGGCACTCGCTCTCTGGTCTCCGGTCTTTCTCTTTCGCAACGTTCTGAGCTTGCATTCAGACAAGTAAGCCATCAAGCCAGTCTAGCTGGCCGGATGCCTGAGCCTTTGGGTGGCGTTTGGGAAAGACCTACGATTAACGTTTACCACTGCATCCAAAGTTATGCGCAGCACACACACTTCCATCTGAAAGGCGAGGCGTGGCAATGCCAGTCGCCCATCATCATGCTGATTTCTGCTCCGATTTGAATTGAAAGATGTGCAACGCCGTACAAAGTGTGTTATGCATGCGAGCCTGCTTTGATGGTAACCTGACTTCAAAGCAAACAGGTGTGCAGTGCAGAGCTGGAACCTTCGGAGCACCTGCTTTGTTCAGCCAATAGACGAAATAGTTGTCCATGGCAACTCCTGCGGTACAGCACCAGGTTCCGTACAATTCACAATGCCGAAGTATTCGTCGGCCTCCCGGGGCCTTCAAATGGGACACCCTGCTGCCATCGTAGATGACCCTGGCGGTTTTCAGTGAAACGAGCCACGAGCCATGTCAGCCTTGCCAAGATTTAACGGCAACGAATGGTGGCCCCACTGTGCTTTACACATACACATTGGACATGAACACTAAGCTCTCCTCCAGTTAGCTGAATTCCATGCAGATTTATCTTCAGAAACTCACGAAGCCACGATGCTGCGATGCATGACCGTGAATAGCAGACTGTGCGTCACTTACACATCGAACATGAGTTTTCACACAGATGCCCCAGCCGCATTAGGTTCTGGCAAAATGTTCATTGAGGCAGCGGGCTCAGGGGCTGTCTTGCCCTCGTCGATGCTGGCTGCAGAAACCTGCACTCGCAACACAACTTGCCTCAGACGATCAGGCGATGCAAGGCTTATATGCAGCAGTCGTTTTGGAATGGTGGCTGATGCATGCATCCAGAAAAAACTGAGTGAGACCGAGAGCACGCAGCATGATAACTTCACATGCATGACGCAGTGCAGGCTGCACAGCTTTGCTGGGCCTCCGAATTGATATGCGCTCCCATTTCAAGGTGTGACTCACAAGGCGAGGGATCCAGCCCCGCCAAGAGCCAGCTTCCTTGTGTGACCTCCCTTGCCCAAGACGGGGAGCGAGAATGTTCTGCATACCTCTCCATGACTTGGAGCCAGGCTTGGCGTATAAGCTGCAAACACGTACAGTATCATCATGTATCACAGTTTCACCATATTTACATCTGGTATAAACTGCAGAGGAGTTTGTAATCCCTTCCAGACCATGGCCAACACTTGCTAACAACCATTCGACCTGTTCCGGGGTGGAGGAAGGCACTGCAAACACGCATCCAGCGCAATGATTCTGTTCGGGAGGGGTAGCTGCGTGGCTGCATGACTGTCAGATCACAGGCCTCCTTCTCCAAATAGTCGCTGGATTTGCTGCGTTGCACTCGCTGCAAGTCCGGTGGGAGCCACGCAGCCCCACGAGCGCCGGCTTGTAGCAGCAGACGGACAGTCTGCACGAGTGACAGAGGCGACGACTGCGAGGATGCTTATCCACCTTTTTACACACTGTTTACGAGCTTCTACCGCACCTTCACATTGCCCTGTGCAGCGGCACGTGCCACTGGGGGCATCCCAACCTGACAGCAAGCTTCACAAGACTCGAAGACCACATGTTCATCTCGTTAATCACACGGTCATCTGGCATGTGTGGCTGACTGGGCAGAGGCTGCTTCTAGATCGTGCGTTTGCATTTCCCGGTTTTTCCAACTTGTCGACTGATGCTGTACAGAGTTTCAGGTCAGTGCTCCGGATTTGCAGTTCGGTGTTTCTAAATCTTCAATGAAGCTTTGGGTGCCCCAATCCAAGGGACTGTCACCCCATCGGCATTGCCATCCCAATAACAGTAACTCCAAATCCCGGAGGCGACCTTAACAACGAAATCGCGGCCTTCTGCCCGTAAACGTTGGGATCCGCCCGTGCCTGTCGATGTGCACTTACAGCTGCCAGAAGCGACGGCACATTTCGGAACCTGCAAGAGCAGCTTTGTCAACGCCACTCGACCATGATGTGCCGCGTACTCGAGTGGGAATTGCCCTCCGTTCAACGGCCGGCAACTGGCTGCCTGCATCGAGTTCGCAAGCACTGTAGATGGGCAAACCGCATTCTGCGAGCTAGCCGCCGCCAGAAACAACTTTAGTGCAAATGCATGCAGCCAGGTTAGGACTCAACATGTACTGCAAGCCGTGGAGTCCTGCTAGAGCTACTGGTAGGGCCACGTGATGCAACGAGTACCTTCCTAGTAACTAGTACGGCTCTCTCCAGCCGTACAGCTGGGGGGCTGATACGGCTGACTCGTCGCACAAGTACGTAGTTCCACCGCGCCGAGAGGTCTACGACCCGTCTTATCTGTACTCCCAATCACCATATGTACTACGCCAAAAGCATGCATGCAGGAGCATCCTCGACAAGCAATTGGGCCCATGGAGAAATCCCACCGTGCAAAACTATCCTGCCAAAAGCCCTGGCATGCGCCGCCTCGGGCAAGACTGCCAGCAAAGCTCGTGCACGGCCGGCATCGTTCTCACAGACGGCATTCAGCAGCTCGGAGCAGACATGAATGTGGACCTGGGACGGGATCAAGATTGATGCAAGCTGTTGGCACTCTGGAAGTCTGCACAATGTGGATGACATTGGCTACGACTCCCAGGACTTGACTTGCCTTCAGAAATGTGTTCGGAGTGTGTATCGGACGTGTCTGCGCATTAAGCCTTCCAGGCCCCGGGATGACACACTTGCGCTAGGAAAATGAGAAAGCACAATGGAACTCGATGGAAAGCACAAATAATATGAACGCTGCCTGAGCAACAACACACATCCCGCAACAGAGGCAATCGCGTTTGTGCTGTTCGGAGCTGCAAACTGCGCGGCCCTTACTTGGCTTTGAGGCAAGTAGAGATTTCTCAGTACATTTATGTTCCATATACTTTCTGCGTTTCTGAGATCTACGGCCGACTACTGCCCTGGTCCTGCCTCTCGTCGGATGCTGGCATCGGCCCCACATGCGACGGAGGCCAGCACCAAACGTCTGTAAAAGGCCTGCAGGCTTCCAGCTGGAAAGAGATGACGGACCGTGATGAGTTGGACACTTGTAAGTAGGAGACATATATATATATATATATATATTTTTATTTATCTATTTATTTATTTATATTTATTTTTTAATTTGTAAAGGAGAAAATCTGGTTGTTGGCTTTCCTGTGCCTTGCCGTGGCCTTCATAGGAGAGGTGGGTCAGCTCGTGCAGCAGAGTCGCCAGCACGAAGCTGTACGGGTAAAGCTCGGGCCTGCTTTGGGGATCCCGCACTTTCAGGAAGATCGTCCCCTCGTGGTTGTAACCTCGGCAGCCACCACGGGAACCTTCGACACCCTGCACTGTAAACCCTCAACCTCTTGCGAATCTGAAATGTCGCTCCAAATCACATCCAAGCGGCCCACGTGCTCGTCCGCGGGGTCCAATTCACAAAGCTGCCTGAGGCGCCAACCAAACTCGCGCATGGCTGGCCACGCATCTCGGAGGGCATGACGTAAGGTTCGCCGCACTTCGCGGTCGCCTTTCCTGGGGCGACGACTCTGCAAGCTAGGGAGAGCGAAGTGGCACTTTGCAAATTTCGAGCAGATGCTGGTAAGCAGATGTGATTGAGACAGTGCTCGTTGTATGCTGGGCTGCAATCTGGCCCATGAAACTTGAACCTAAGCGTGCGCTGTACGACGCATGGCAAAGCTCACTCCTCAATGCAAAAAACAATAACAAAATGGAAGCGCGTGCTTACCCTCGGGTGTCTTCTTTTGTTAGGGTCAAGTTAGTGTTGTCTTTTTTCGGTCTGTCTGCATGCAGGTTGCTCTTTTGTTCCATCCATCTCTCTTCATCATCGCCCGTCTTTATTGCTTCAATTCTTTGGTTCTGCCCTTGTGTATTTATCTATGTCGTCATTTCTTTGTTTCTGTCTTTCTTTGCTTCCGTCGTCCATTCGTTTTGATTTATTCATCTATGTTGCTGTCTATGGTAGTTCGCTATTTCGTTCTGTCGTTATTTATTTCTTTATCTCCGTGATTATGTACTTATGTATTTCTTTCGTTCGTTATGTCTCTCGTTATTTCTCGTTTTTGTTTATTAATTTCGTTCTTTCTGTCGTTCAACCTTTAGCTGCTTCATGTATCTTTCTTTCGTTGCGCATGTATTGGGTTTAGTTCGTTCGTTGTCTCGTTCTTGCTTTCTGTCTGTCGTTATGTATTTCTTTCGTGTTTATGTATGTTTTAGTTATTTATTTCGTTATGCTTGTCGTTCGCTATTTCGTTGTCTCTTTTTTGTCGTTATTTGTGTCGTTCTTTCTTTATGTCTTTCTTTATGCAGCGCTTTATTTCGATATGCCGTTCGTTCGCTATTTCGTTGCCTTTCTTCTGTCGTTATCTATGTCGTTATTTATTTGCTTATTTCTTTGTGTCTGTCTTTCTGGGTTCTGTGATTCTGTCGGTCTTTCCGTTGATCTTTCTTTCCTTCTCTCCTCCTTTCTATCTTTCATTAGGATTTCTTTCTTTCTTTCTGCCGGGCTTAGGGGTCGTCTAGCGACCGTCATGCCTTCGGCCCGCCCGACCACCCAATGTTTTGTGGAGTGGCCGGCATTGGGGTCATCATAATGGAACATTTCTCTCTGTCTTTCTTTCTTGCACTCCCAATAGGGCCCCCTTCACCCTCCCACAATTTCGTGATGCTTGAAGCCTGCGGTGAGCGTGAAACAATATCTTAGGAGTTGTGCAGGTGTTTGCTACGGTTTGTTGTCTGGTGTATTGACCCCGTTGGGGCGAGGGGGGGTAGCTTTAGATCTCTAGTGTATCAGGAGCCAGAGCCCCCTGAATTCTCTATTGACCCAAACCAACTCTGTAAACGACAACTCCTGCAAGCTCCAAAGGAGCTGGCTTTCGTGACGAAGCGACCGCTCCGTTTCAAGCGTAGTGCGATGGAAATTTGCACGTCGCGCTTCAGTGAACACCGGCTTGCCGGGCTGTCGGCTTGCCGGAACGCGCCATCCCGGAAAATATTTCAGCAACCGTAAAGCAGGATCTCGAGCCCTGCAGCGTGTGTTGCCCCTCCTCTTGCAGCCCCTCGGTCGGGCCAGCACTACAAGCGCTGGCTCTGCCTTATATATCTGCGTCGCAGCACCCTAACACCGAGCCCTCGCTGTCTGGCTCCGCAAGTTGAAGTGCGGTGCTCGCAAGTAGAAATCGCATTCGCACAAGGTATCATGCTTGTGCAGATTTCAACATCGCAGACCAGACCCTATGGGAAAGTTGCATTTCCATCTTTCCGAACAACACCGCTGCTCTTGTGCTGCTTGCTGCAACCACATTCGGGGCATGCCTGCAGTCATGCTCGCACAGGCAGAAGCTGAGAACCACGACACGAAGCTACAAGTGATCAATCCAAGCCACTGGAACAAGCGGGTGATATAACAGTGCAGCATTGGCGAGATTAAATACACACACAAGCCAATAACTTGCCCAGCGGCAGACCGAGACTTGAAATAACGGGTCCAGAGCGGCGTGAAGCCTCCTCGTCATTGTAAGCTTCGCATTGGCCAGCTTCACCAGCATGGGGCATGCAAGGGCATGAACAACTTGGAGCACCAAACTCCAGTTCAACAGGGCAAGCCTTGAGCCCGGAGCATGACACAAGGCACACTCGCAAGCTTGATGGCAGGGACAAACACTTCAGGGCGCTGCTCTCAGAATTCGATTCGTTGGCTCGTCAGAAAACACGACATTGCCCAGACCATCCACCGTCACAGCCTCAATGCGTCTTCTGCTTGCAAAACAAAGCGTTGCTCGGTCCTGGCTTACAGGTGTAAGCAGCCTGCCCGAGTCTGTACGCCGGATGCCACCACCTTCGGACTTCCGACTGACAGCCTTGCACATGCCGAAGTAGTGTAATTAAGGTGAGTAATGCAGTCGATCCAACTCTGTGTAAGTGCTGGACGTGTCTCCATTCGATGAAAGTGGATACATCACCTTGACAAGAAGCTTTCTGTGCCTTCAAGCAAAAGGAAACCGGAAGCTTGATAAGACAGCGACCAGCCCCGTTTTGTTCGGATCAGCTACGAAAAGGCGCTGCCTGCTCAGTATGGACTCATGCCCTCATGCCGTCCATCCACCGTGAGCGAGCGACAATCGACACATGATGTAGAACCACCTGTGGTCATCAACCGCAAGGCCCTGCGGAAAGACCAACCTCAAGCGTCGAAGTCGAGGCTTTAAGCAGGACTTCATGTTGAACTTGCGGATAGGAAATGACTTACCCGAATAGCTCCTGCTAGGTCGGCCACCCAGACTTGATGAGTGTCCGCATTGCCTTTTGGCATGATTGCAGGCAGGGAAGTGGCTCCAGAAATATAGTAGTAAAGTAGTTTCTAGCAATTGCTGCGCAGACCTGCTGTTCAATACTTAAAAGTTTAACTTAAAAGCACTCACTGAACTCTGCCTTGCCTGTCCATCTGCCGTGGCTGGTGACCCGTCCGTGGGAAGCTTCAAGTAGGCCACGTCTGTCAACAAGCAATCGCAGCACAACAAGACTGCCACAGCTCGGGAGTAATGGGGGCTGTATATGCTGCATGTAAAGCGAGGATGAGGCTCCTTGCATATGTGTGGGCAGTACTGTCATGCTTGTGTGCATGGGGGGGCGCGTGTCTCCGCTTGCACTTGCTGTAAGCTTAACTGAAACAATCAACCAATCAATCAAACAAAGAAACACAGAAACAAACAAACGAACGAACGAACACAGACAGATAGTCAGACAGACAGAACAGGCAGGCAGGCAGGCAGGCAAGCAGGCAGACAGGCACACAACACAAACACAATTAGCATGACTAACATAGCCAAAATCTTACACAACATAAAACGTCACAAATGTGTTCTTTAATACATACCTACATTGATCGTCACATGTACATACTACATTATCTAAAGTTCGTCCCCCTTCCCTGTGGCCGCGACTGTGCATTTCGCAACGACAAGCACACTAGATGTCTTATCAGCACTTGCAGCGAGGCACAGCACAACTTCACACGAGACTTCAAGGACAGCTGAGCAACTCACCTAGCGACTGACTTGCCCCAAAGAATCACCAAGACTGGACCAACCGGTCTCCGCCATCTAGTCCGAATCTGCGAAACTCAACCGTGACTACGGGTGTGCCAGCCACATTTCATGTTGCAGGTGTCCACAGTAAGGACTTATTAAAGGGTCAGCCCAGGATTGGCTTTTACATCTGAGGCATCGGCGACCCGTCAACGGAGACGACACGATCAGAAATTTCTGTGATTCTCCAAAGCTGGAGACTCCTGACCGGATGCGATTTGACTCGTCACGAGAGACAAGATCGCACTGGCCCGCCTGGCAAGGTAAGAAGTGCAAGCAGGATGCTGATGTGGCACCGCATCCAGCTAGAGAGCAAGACCACCTGCGTCTCAACACCCATGTGTGCTCAACTGTTCTTCCGCTGAACGTGATTTCATCGCTTGCTTCCCCCACACCAAGAACACTGTCCACTAGGATGCTCTCCAAGCTGCTGCGCGCTGCCAAGGATGATCGGTTTGGTATCGCCTTGCACATATTGCAGCTATTGCCAAATGCCACGGCATTGAACACGGGAGCACCAGGCCTTCGGCAAGGACTGCATTGCCCTTAACCTTAAACCCCCTTGATCCTCAAAGAAGATGAAAGGTGATGTTGGAGCCGGCAGCCTCGAAGCAAAAAAGCTCCTCACACACTGGTTCTTTTGGAATAATGGAGCTCAACGGCCCACCCACTGTCGTGATCTTTGCAAGCGGCAGCAGAAAAACTTGGCACTTCGTGCACAAGGATCCGGTGCCGTCAACGTGAGACTGGTCATACTGTCGCGTGCTGTCGCATGCTGTCACAATATTCCGTGGTTGCGAAGTAACTGCTGGCGCTTGAGTTGGCCCGACAGGAACTTGGTCTGCGCAAGCGGCAGTGTGAGAGTGAAGGCCCTTGGCAGGGTCCACAAGACGGTGGCTCTGCGAGGCCAGGGGATCCGCCCAGCGCCTTGCGGAGCGCTGCTTTGTGCCTTTGGCCGCTTCTCAGCGGATCTGGACGGTTTGGCGTCGAAGGTCCTGGCGAACGGCGCAGAAGACCGATGCCCCTACGAGCTACAGCTACAGCGACTGCCCTGCATGAAGTTATGGCTCGTTTCAGTCTCTATGACTCTATGACTCTATGAGGCAACATGGTGACCGTGGTGGTTTGGCATCCCCCGCTGTCCAGATTCTTTTGGGGGACTCGGAGCTTCCTGCACATTCGTCACAGCTTTGGCGGAAACAAGTTTTGCAGGGACAGTGGCGCTTGTTGCGGGCGCACGTCTGTGTCACCATGAGATTCGCGATGGCCTCAGAACTCCATGGATCTGCCAAGCACCATGGCATCTGGTGGCATTCCTTATGGTCTCATGTCATGGAAATATGATGCCAAAGAACTTTCTGAAGTGCACGGACCATCTCCGGACTGGAGACTTGGACCTGGCGCGGATTCGGCCCACCGCTTTCAGTGAAAGCCGCAAGCCCTCTTCGCTTCTGCGCTTCGTGTGCGCCCGCTTTCAGGGTGGGGCTTCAGTGGTGGGACAGAAAACTGCGGCTCCACGCGGAGGAGCTTTTCAATGACCCTCCACGACATTGCAGTCAGTCTTCAACAGCTGGAGTCAAGCTGACACCCCTCCCAAATCGTCATGGCGAAGCACTGAAACTAGACAGACCGTTGCAGACGTTGGATTTGGAACTGCAACCTTCCCCGCCTCTGTCAACGTCGATTGTCGGAGCACCTCGCAAAACGAACTTGAGCGCATTGATTTCAACATGCGTCAGGCCCGGCTTGGCTTTCAGCAGGACACGCAACAATACTGGCTAACTGTTGGTCTTGCCACTTCAAGAAGAAAAGAGCCAAGGGTTCGCATAGAAAAGCGGTCTGACAGAAAGTAGGGACGGAGCTTGCTGGCCTCGTGCCTGGACTTTCTGCAGTTCGCTGTCTCGGAGCAAACCCGCGGCAGCTTGCAAAGGAGGGTTGGACCGAATCGAAAAACTAATTCAAGCACAAGGAGGACTGATTCGGAAAACAACAGAAATTCAGTAAAATTGCTTCGGCTTGCTTCGGAAAACGAGTGGCCCCGGAAGTACACAGATTCGCTTCTTTTCATGTTGACGCCTGAGCCTGGCCCACCACACTCCCAATACTCCCATAACTCCGTCGGGGTATACAGTATACCATTGCATTGCTGACGGTGCAAACCTCTTAGGTTAGCCTTTTGCTTGTTTTCAACCCTGGCCACCTGTCTTGGGGTTCACGAACAGGCCACTTTCGAAATCGCCATTCCTTGTTGTGGGCTTGTGTTTATGTCCACAAATCTCTAAACCGTGCGTCCTAAGACTTTAGCGCAAGTAAAGCTTGTACAGCAGTGTGGTGTCTGAAAACTGCACCCATTATGCACCCCAAAAACCTTGGGGTATTACCCTGACTGTTGGGTGGCAACCGCTGAACTCGAAAAACAAGTATCAAATGTTGACCTCGGAAATGGTCCTCTTGAAGTCGCTGGACATCGACACGCGGTTCTCCGGTTTCACATACAGACACGCACACACATACCAAATACATCGATCCATACGTACATACATACATACGTACATACATACCTGTACATCTGCGCATGCATGCAGACATACAGACATGCATACATACATAAGTACATGCATACATACATACATACATACATACATACACATATACATAATCACATACATACACACATACACAGAACCTCCATGACCTCATCGGCCAAGGAGCAACGGATCGTATCTACATAGCTACATACCTGCCTCCTGACCTCGGATTGGGGGTCATCTCTGCGCTGATGAAAACGAGATCAGAACAGCAGACAAAGGCAGGGCAAAGGTTGAATTCCGGAGAAATTCCTGTGTTACAAAATTTGTTGCACTCATGAATCTGACATCAATCTAAAATTTTCACGCGCGGCTCGGTAATCCGGAAAAGTGTCTGGGCTGATGAACGACAGGGCGGCGCGCGGATACAAGTTCGCGCAATCTCTGCGTTGACGGACTGCCACTGTCACTTGTTGCACCTGTTGGAGAACCTTTCAAATCCGGCCGCGTAAATGAATCACACCCCCATGCAACACAAAGCGATTCCGGGCGTGCAACGCTCGGATGGGAATCGAGCGTCCAAATGTTGCGGAAAGTTATCGAAACTGACCTATGTTGAAACATGCTGAAACTGCATCTAAGCATTTTTCAACTTGACGCAGTGGTGACGCATCATGGCCCACTGCCTTCCTCAAGGCGCTACCGTGCCGTAATTCTGGCTGTTCCGATGCTTTCATCACCTCAAATTGTGCCTTTTCACTGTGACGACGCAAAAGTATGTTTCGCGCCACCTGTCGATTCCTCATACATTGTGTTTTTGTTCCTTCTTAGGATCCGCTCGTGGTACCGTTCTGGTCTACGGGGCTGACGCTGGACAAGGAACGTGGCGTACGACCTCAGGCTTTGCTGCAACACCAGACATCCGGGACAGAATCTTAACCCATCGAGGATAGACCCTGCGGCAACTTCAGTCTGGATTCTGCCTGACATTGTTCGCAGTCGCTGACAGGAAGCCGTATGCTCACTGGCTGAATCTAGGGCGGCCACACCCCGCCATTAATCAAGGACAAACTCCCGAATATCATTGAAGTCGCAATGACTAAGCAAGCCCACCGATTCCCGCAATCAAGATGTTGAAGGATGGATTGGGGCAAGTGGGCCTCAATCTGGTTGGCGGTGGCTGCAAAGCAACCACATACCAGAGCGCTATTCATCGCCTATACTTAACGCCAATACATTTTGTCTTGAGGTGGAACATGGTGGAACCATTTATGAGCTCTTGTAGCGGAGGGATCGACGGTTCGTTCAAAAAGCACACCAAGAACACGCCATGTAAGACTGTAAGATGCTGGCATAGAGCAAGCATGGTCCCGCTTTGCTGCAGCGGACGGAATGCCTCAGGAGATGCGGCTTTGTAATTCGCGAACTCCATCACAGATTGTCACTCAGCAGTTGGTGAGCGCCTCTGGTTCTGCGACATGATGTGCTCCAGACCGAACATGCAACCGGGCGAGAAAACCTGGCTCGCAAAGCTGTTGCTGTCTCCAAACATGGATAACGAAGACTGCAGTCAACAAGCAGTGCCAAACACAACACAAAAGCCTCACAGGAGCCCAGACGCTGGACATCGCTCGACACTATGCAGATCTCAACTCCTTGGAAGATGGTTCTCTGATGTGTTCTGTCCACCTAGGTGGATCCCAGTGACAAACCGTTACAGCGTGACAAGCCGTTCCGAAACCCAGTGGTAGCGGATGGCAAAGTACGGAAGATGTGCAACAAAATCCCTAGCTGCAAAGCTTCGAGTTTCCGCCGATGCTACATATAGCCACACACAAACACTCCCTTCATCTCCCTTCCCGATTGTCTGCTTGCCGGCATGGTGAAAGCCACCATCACCATCATTCTATACCCATCACGCAATCACATGCCAGCCAACCAGAAGCGTCTTGACCTTGACGCCTGCCGTTTCTCTGTGTCCTATACTGAGAACACGGTGCCGCTCTCGAGCTATTGCCTAAGAGTCTAAATGCGGCACATCAAGGCACACTGCTGCTCTGGACCTTTGCCTCAATCTGGCTTTCAGGTGAGGCATCGGAAACACGATTGGGATAGTGCGAAGATGCTCCGGACCGAGTTAAAGACAGACATGAACACGCAACCACGCCTGCCATGTTTGCAGCCTGCGTCTGCACCTGCACAGATTCGCAGAACGCAGGGCGTCTAGGAATCGACGTGCAACGGGCAACGTGCCACCACGGCCTCTGAGAGATCGGGGCCATTGTCGGCACTCCCTGCAGCCAGATCTCAGTCGGCTATGCGCGCTGCTCTGAGCTACTGGCAGCAGTCGGACCCTCCCTTGTTGAGCTTTTTCTCTGCTCTCGCTCAGAGAGGGCCCTCCGGCTGAAAGATTTTTGGGCCAAGATCGTGATAGATCCGCTCCTAAGCTCAGGTGGGCAGGGGCACAGTGCCTTGCACAGAAGGAAATGGCGCTGCAGGCAAGACGCATCGTGCTCTGTGAAAACCTGGGCAGGGCATGCCTCCACTCACCGTGACTCACGTGGTTCCTGTTCCGATTTGGAAATATGTGCACCTACCAGCACATACCAGCACTGCACGCTTCTAGAAAACTGCAATCGTGCAATCCCGGCGGCATCAAAAACAACGGAGGAGAGCGAGGCTAGGTTTTCGGGTGCCTGCAGCCACCTGCCCATCAATTGAGATTGCCACACCACTCGGAGCGAAGCAAGAAGATAGTCGAATCATACCCAATCACCAAGCAAACACCTGTGCACAGCTGTAAGTGCAACTTCCGCAGCTTCGCGCGCAGGGTACCCAAAGAGGCCAGTGGAAATACAGCAAAACGCAACCTTACACGCATTGCATGAGGTGCACAACTCCGGAAATGAAAGGAATGGGTAATCGAGCGGCACTGGTATGTCCAGCATCGCGGGCTGCATCCAGACAGTTTGTGTAGGCCAGCCGCAGCTCTTCGCTTGACAGACTGGAAGGGCGAGAGCCTTAGAGACCCTTTAGTATCCCTTTAGTGGCACAAGACCTTTCAGCCCCCGGCAAGGCCCCAATGTCAACGGACGCAAACTAAGGCAAGATCCGGGTGAAATCTGAGGCCCTGTGACGTGCAGCACAGCTTTTGCAGGCAGGTGGTAGGCTTTCGTCAGGAGCGGCATCCTCAAGCTTGACATGCCATGGACTTCAGCCAACCAGCGGCAGAACTCAAGAAGAGACACTGGGTGTACGAAACTCTCGGAACATCTGGTCAGTGCAGAAATAAATCTCAGAGATGTCGAAATTCGAGGAGACGAGAAACTGCTGAAGTCCAAATCATACAATCGCAGCTACTCCGAAAATACTGGCAATGCAATCTCAACGAATCACATTGACATAAACATAGTCGGAACCTGTTCTTAGACAGGTCTCGTGCCAGGTAGGAGCTTCTTCTGGCGCTTCTGCATCTCCAAACGGCATTCGCTTCGCAGCCTGGGGCCGGCCGCCCGGTGCAGCACGTTGTCGATGCCTAACACAGGCGAAGGAAGGCCTGGGCCCTAGGCCCTAGGCTTGCCGCCATTCCCTTTGACGGCTGAGGGGTCAGCAACGGTGCGTCGGCTGAAAGCAGCCCAGACCTTCCTGCCATCGCTCAAAACTTAAAACGAGAGCCCACCACGGTGAGCCACAGCGAGCCTCGTTGGCAGCATTCACAATTACGTCCGCTGCCAGCAGGGTAATGTCTCCGCGCCAGACAAGAACTTGGCCTTGGTTGGGGACAAGGTGACAACTTGCAACAATCAACAAGAGCAGTTGCATACATTGTCTGATAAAGAAGTCTCAGCAGCACGGCGAAGCTGCTAGCCAGAGCCCTTTCAGAGCATCTACGCTCAGCGGGGGAGGCTTGCTCAAAGAGTCTGCTGCATACACCTCATCAATCGCCTGCAGCCTTAATGAACGGCTTCTGCACGCAGAGTCTGAAGAGCCAGCAGAAGCAAGGGATCCAAAAACTGAGGACAGCACTGATCTTCGGAAAGGGAGCCGGAAAACTGGATCAAGAAATCACCTCGGACAGCACGCCGGCTCCCCGCATCAAGATTCGCTCACCCTGGCCGAGATGCCCAGCAAGCGGCGCGGAGCATCGCCGCCCTGTTCTCGGCAACGTCGAGTGGGCTCCTCCAGAGCCGGGATGTCTGTAGCCTTGGACTCTTGGACTTCCCATGGCCCCACCATCACCGGCAGCGCCACTCTACGAGCTACAAACAGTGTGCACATGAACTACCGCAACAAAAACCAGGTCGCCAGGAGTTCCAGTGCATGGATGCATGCTTCTTGCACGCGGCGCAAGCCTTGAAGCTACAAACTGAGACCGTCTTGGTTCTGAAAAGCGATAGAAGCGACTGTTCAGGCTGCAAAGCAGATTGGGAATTTGGCTGCTCAGAAAAGGCTGGAAGCAGAAAGCGCCGTGCTCAGACAAGTTGCAACAGGAATGCTGGCTGTCTGCTGAACACGGCATGATGCCGCCCAGCAAGAAACTGAGAAATGGAAGCGCAGGCGAGCCCCTGGTGCCATCCATTCATCCGTCAACGAATATGCCGTGCGTCCATGCCAGACTTCTCAGCACATCTCGCAGGAGAGCACGCATCCAGAATTGACAACCTGACTGCATCTTGCCGCTGGGGTCTCCGTCTTAGTGCTCAATGAAGGCTGTATTGTGATAACAAAATGCTTTGAAGATCTGATCTGTCACCCAGTAAACGTCTGCATTATGGGATCATGGCCTAATGTCTGTGCCCTAGTCGTTGTGTGATGTTTTGAGCCCTGCAATCCGTGCCCGATCACAAGCTGCTTCAGAAACGGCTCACACAGAACAGCATCGCCAAGTATGTCAGTTGTCAGGCCGGTGCAGCCAGATGGATAAGTTGACAGGAATTGCCAGGTTGCAGAGTGGCAATTGTTGCCGAGCATGTGCACCTCCAGTATCCGAATGGCCGCCGTTTGGCCTTTGTCTCCAGACGCTGCGATGGTAGAATGCCTGGCTGGATGCGAGCACTTCAATGTTTTCGGCAGTAGTTGCACGGCTTGAGTCGTTTCCACTCAGCAACGGGGGCATGAACCTGGTGCTACTGCTTGGGGCTCACTTGTGGTTCGGGTGACCTTCAGCTTCAGGCACTTCAATGAGATGAACTGGGTATCCAGCAAAACTAGATGGTGTTGACTGCCAAGGATGCGCTGCCTCATGATCGGCCCGGAGGGCTTCATTTCGGACGTTTGCTCCGCGAGTTCTACACTTCCTCGAAAGTGGCCCGGCGGTTTCATGGGGGTGCCCCGACAACGTTCTTGACATCGGTCTCGCTCCGATGGTCCTTCCTTACTCCATGACTCTGAACCCCTTCGGATTTTCCAATCTTGCCGACTTCCAGCACGAGCCGAAACCAGTGATAGCTGAGAGGGGTTCGCATCCATGCCTTACTGGAATGCATGCTGGCACAAGGCCGAAGCATCACTATCATCACTACAAAACAGAGACTGCTGATGTCCGCAGTTGCGCACAGCGCCCACTCAGGGCAAAAATTTGGCAGTTGAAACTCGGATAACTCTCACACAGGCTTAAACAGTGCATGCGACTCACACAATGGAGATTTGCGAAGCACCCAGCTTCCGATTGACGGTGCTTGTTTCAGCACGCCCCGATCGGCATTTAGACTCATCTTGACCGCAGAAAACGCCGACCAGCGAGGAAGGCCAGCTTGAGGCTTTGGGGGGTTGTTGGCCCGAGCATTAGCTTTGGCTCCTCGAAGTCTTTCCGCCTCTGACGATTCTTAAATCCGAACCGCGGAGTTCTCAAGTCACCATGCAGCGCAGCTTTTGAACGCCAAGGAGAGTGTTGAGGAAGCGACGCGTAGATTAACGACTCTAAACTCACGTGAGGTTAATGAACCATCTGGAAACTCGCATGGATTTTTCTGCCAGAGGTTGCACCACTGCAAGGGCAGATCCTTCCGCACACATACATTGGGGTTGAAAGGTCTGAAGCAGCCGAGGGATGGGAAGTGCGAAGAGAGACAAGACAGTGTTGGTGTTCAGAGTATCCGCCATGTCAGAACTCCTCTGCCCAGCCTCACACTCTCCATCGAAAACAAAGAAGAGCTCTTGCACCTTGCAGTCGCGTGTTGAAATTGGTGCAGACACTTCGTTTAGCAAGCTAGCGCAAACGGTTCGCACTGGGTTCGCAAGTTGCTCTGACAACCCACAGGTTCAATTCTCGGCGTGCATTGAAGCTCTGTTGTTTTTGTGTTTTTGTGCTCCGTCCGTTTTGGACATGTCAAAGACACACCCTAGGGCATCTGGGGCTTGCACTGGCAAAAGACTGGACTAGAACTGCCAAGTGCTCTCTGCTGGATGCGGAGTCTCTTGCTTAGTCTCTTTCTTTCGTTTGTTCCTTCCTTTCTTTCGCAGGGCCTAGGAGCCAGCCCCCCGTGTAGAGGGGCGCCCTCCCGTCTCTTTCTCTCTCGCTCTTTCTGCTGGGCTTGCGGTCGTCATGTCAGCCTCAGACCATTGGCCCTCTCTCTCTCTCTCTCTCTCTTTGCTTTGCTTGGGGTCAAGGCCAGGAGCAGTCCTCCTGACCCGTGCCGAAGCGCATCTCCACATCCACCATATTGTATCTTCTTCCACACAGTCAAGGAGAAAGCGCAGAAACGCCCCCTCCCGCGCGCATGCGCGTATCTCTCTCTCTCTCTCTGTTCTGTCTCTCTCGCTTGGTGTAGGTGGACAGCCGGACGGTCAAAGGCACCCGTTCATTCTTTGCGGTGCTAGGTGCTAGGTTGTGTGGCGAAGGTTGCTGTCGAGCATGTATTGCAGAGAATAGGAGCTGGCTGCATCCGCGTTTGGGTGCCCAATGCTTCCAAAGCTCCCTCCACGCTTGATGGATAAGGGGTTAGACCTACCTGCCTGCATGCCTCGTTCAAGTCTTTGCTACGCTACTGCTCTTCATACCATCATGCATGTCACTTCTTCCCTGCTCTGGCTTGCGTCCCCCAAGTTTCCAAATCCGCTCGAGACAGCTGCTGTGCCGTGGTGTGTCTTGTCTGTGTATGCTCGCACAGGGAGCATTGTTGCCAATCTAGCACTTCCACAGCTCGTGCAGGACATCCGGCGCGTTCTAGCGTTTCGGCAAAGCTTGTTCGATGCTTCTGTAGGAGCTCAGAGTGTCTTCAGAATCTGTATCACGCAGTGCCTCCGATATACAAACAGCCCTCCAAGGCATTGCCCTCGGTGATCCTTCCAAGAAAGAGGGCCACCTCGTGTTCCACTTGCTCAGGATATCTAGGCCGGCCAATCTGTAGTCCACATCTTTCTACGGTCAGCATCTTCGCGAAACAGGTCTGCTTGAAAACAGACCATGCTGCGGGAAACACATGTGAGATACATTGAATGAGCATGATTGAAATCACCTTCCATCTTCATCCGACACGACAGTATGCAGGTACATAGAGACTCTTACATTCATCCGGCTCGATTGATATCATCAGATTTCCTTCGTAAACTTGATGGTCGATGAGTCATGACATACGAAACCACCGAGTATTGTAAGCCCCATCTGAAGTCAGACCTCATATGAAATCTGTGTCACGAAATCGAACAGTTCAAAAACATATTGTCAGCATCAGCCTTGCATACCCCCACGAAAGTTCCAGCCAGTTTGTTGCTAAACTTCCAAAACGACCTGTTGATTTGGATGACCTGCGGAATCTCACCGAACATAGGCCTTGGACTTGCATGCTGGGATACCCTGAGACATTTCTATCAGAAGAGCAGTTCGACCAAGAGATATACAAGTTGCACGAGACGAGCCCGAGCAGGTGATCCACCACATTCCGAAGCACATGAGGCATACCATTACATCTGTATGTCCCAGACTTCGGAAGTTGATTTGATCAACATGAGGGTGCTGCAAAAACACGCAACAACCCAGGCTCGAAAACCACTGGTTTTGTGGCGCATCAGGCCCCTGCTCTGATTCATCTATCCATCCAAGCCAACTTCAAACACACATTTAGGGTGCACACTTCAATGCTCTCCTCAGCAATAGACAATGCACGTTGGCTTCTGCGATAAAACGAGAAGTTGCTGATGTAACTTACCCCATGCCATCAAGATGAAGAGGAAGTGAGGAAACTACAAGGTGAAACCCTGCGTGCCAAGGATAGAGGAAGCAAATTGCCAGTCTTCCTGTGGAAACCTGAGACTGGGATGAACCCACGCCATTGGACGATTCTGCAACGTTACATTAATCACAGGAGCCTGACAGGCCTCAAACAGTCCAAGCTGAGCATGTTCAAGCACTGGATCAGCCAGCACGTGGGGCAGACTCTGGCTCGGTGGCGGGCCACGGAGCTTTCTTCTGCGTTGATGACCAGCTCACCAGCGCAAACTGCCTGGCGATTATGCCCAAAGGAACAGCACGGCCTGGCTGCACAGCCAGGAAGCCTGCGGTTCAAGAATCCGCATCGCCCAAGAAATGAACCTGACCGACGAGGCATTCTGAACATTGCACAGGGATTCGAGAGTCTGTAGGCTAGGACCAATCTGGCAATGGGCCACTTTCAAGTCCAGTTTGTTGTGGACCTTCCGAAACAAGAATGGCCTGTAGACTGCAGCCCGAGCAAAGTTCCCGGAAGCTTCAAACAAAAGATGCACTGTTTGCCGGCACCTGCGAAAAGTCCGATTCGGGAGATCGCCTCTCGATGGATGTGCGCTGACACCTGACAGGGGATCTTGATGTACACCCTTCGGCACGTGTTCTTAATTGCGCCTTCTTCCTAAGCCAGTTCGGAAGATCCATCATCAAAGTCGTTTCATTGAACGGAGAGCGCTCTTGGTAGAAGAACCTGGCGATAGTGCTTTTGTAAGAAAAAACCACTTTACAGCGGAGACGAGCCAGAACCACTGGTAGTGCCGCATCACTTCTTTAACCTGTACCAGGTTTGGTGAGGGCCGAAGACCGTCGGAGGACTCAAAAACGGCCACGGCCTTGTTCTGGCTGATGCGCTGCTCTTCGCAGAAGTGGCGGACCAGCGACAAGCGCTTCTTTGTGAGCGCCTTCTACTGTGGACGTTCAAGCAAAAGCCGTCCAAGGCACCAATGCCGCGTAACGGCATCATACCACGTCGCCTCCATACCGCGCTCCTGTCCGGCCAGAGCAGCGATAGACCCGATAATATAGCCTCGGGATCAGTGGCCAGCTTGCGTCGATGTTCCACGATTCGAGCACCGGAGGACAGAGCCGAACATCGTGGCACCGAAGATCATCGCAACAATTGCATATACCTCATGCGACTGAAGGCCCCTTTTCTGGGATTTGTGTGCCCTGGCCCTGGAAGCAGTGGTTTCTTGAAGACGCTTGTACGAGCTCGTGGCCCTTTCTCCGTCATTTCTTGGATGCAGATCACCATAGCCTGCTCCACCGCTTAAATACTGCAAAACCCGACTGAACATGAAAGTCGGCTACTCGCTACGACAGTCTACAAAAGCTCCTGCAGATACGACTTGCTCGACTTTCAATGCCTCTAACCCGCTCGAGGGTTCCAATCTGTGGGATCAAAAGTTCATGCTGCAGTCGCTTGTCTCTAGTACGCAGATGTGTTTTTCGGTCTGGGCAACTGAGATCACTGAACACCAAGGCTTGACTGCGCCTACCGTGGTCATTGTGGTGAACGCCCAGTAAAGGGAGGCGATGTACCTCGCCACAGGGCAATAAGACATGTTGGTCCCCAGACAAACCCGAAGGTCACTGATCAAATTTGTCTTCCGGCCCGATGTTGACCTCGGACCACCACGTTGTTGATGACCTGAAACTCAGTTTTTCGGGCCTGTCATCTACATGTGCTGCATTGTGGCTCAGGAGTGGGCAATGTCTTGTTGCAGCCAAGCAAGCCAGACTCGCATTGTGTGGCTGAGGTGTCTGTGTGAGTCGAAACAAAAAACCTGCCACTGGGCAGAGACAGCTGTTCTTCACCAAGCCTGCATGCTCCCCAAAAAATCGAGTCTATGCCAGAGTAGATGCTGCAAACTTGCATGAAAAGTTGCCAGCAGACCAGAAACAGCCAAGGAAGTGCGACATCACGGTGAGCTTGGCCCCCAAGTTCAGACACCTGGCTTGGGTAGTTTAGCAACTGAGGCACCGAACCTACTCTAATAGGAAGCAGGCTTCAGCGTGAGGTGCGAAAGGTCAAGGAGGTCCTGGACTGCAGACGTAAAAAACTTTTACAGATGGCAAACACGATTCGTGGTACTGCACAGCTGGATGAAGATGCTGAAGGACCACCAAGACTTGCTTCGGTCACGGCTGCAGAAAAGCCAACAGTGGCAATGCTGGGTTCGTTTCGTCCTGTCCTCAGCCTGACTCAGGTGTCACTAACTGTCCATCATTCCACGATGAGGACATTGAAAATCTCTGCTGCAACTGATCTTCCCCCCTCTTGTCGTGGGCTTCGAATGGATGTGGGTGTTCAACCCGGTTCGATTCTGCTCGAGCATTCCAAAGCCCTTCCCTGCACCGGGTGGGTGCATTCGACTCACATCCGACTTGTTTGGTACTGCCTTGAAATCCTGTATGGCTGCGATGACGTATAACTTCGCCATCCGCCTTAATCATCCATTGCTTGGAATGGCGAAAATCCCGATCCAGAGTCCCGCAGTCCTCAACTCTCTGGATAAGCCGTCCTCGGTTCAACCAAACACAAAGACTGACACAGGAGGCTTGCGAAATTGATACAAGCGCCAGGAGCCAGACCCATCTTCAGCATTCGTGCTAGCTTCAGAAGTCGCATGAGGCGCACCATTCGAATCTTCGCTCAGGCACGACTGTTTTGGGTCCAGCATACAGTGCCCAATGTGCCACACATGTGGGCCGCACCATCTTCAGGGCACGAGCTTCGGCACCGCCGCCACCAGTCATGGCCTGTAGATGCAAAGCCACACAGGCCCTGCATGCTGCGTCGATGCCCACACCCCCGAGGCCCCGAGGCCCTAAGCCGGCCTCAACGAAACGATCCACGGGAAACGTCGAGAGGAAGTCGGGAGTGAACCAGGTCCTGGCGTTACCATGAGCCCCATGAGCCACTCGCCCCGGCCTGGCAATGCAAAGGCAATGGATCCTCATATACCGGCCTGCTATGTGCCATCCGACCTGATTGGAGCAGAAGTTTCTAGCTCCGGTTTGCCGGTCCCTAAATTTCACTGCTCACACTTACTAGATCAAACACAGGAGCTAGCATGAACATCAGAATCCCGGAGAAAACCCCCAAACCTGACCTAGATGATGAACGCATGGCTGGAGATTGAAGCTTCTAGGAGCCGTTGATATCTCAACGGCACCTGAGGACCGAGGACCCACGAGTTGACATGTCATGCATGCATACGTAAGCATCGCGGAGTCTGAGCGGACTCATTCGCACTATCCAACCAATACCACGATCGACGTGGCTCAAGCAATGGTGCACAAATCGAGAAACAAATCGAGAAGTGTACCGAGTTCTGGCGCCTAGCCGAGAGATATAATCAGAGACACGTGACAGCGGTTGAATCCCCGATACCAGATGTTCCAGAGGTAATGGGCCATTGAGAGGTCCGTCTCTCATTGACATTGTTGAAGGTGCTGACTGTCAAGGTGCGACAACCCGTCTTGGAGCGACAGGATGGTCCTGGAGTGAGGCCGGCATTGCTTCTGGAGTCCCTTCATGAAACGGTCTAAGCAACCATTCCTGACTGTTATCCGAAGACTTAATGCACAAGATCTAAGGGCTCAATGGGATCGCAAGTGGCGGCGGTGACTGATGTATGTTTGCGTCCCACAGTGCTCATGGTTGTTCACCACGGGCGGATCGTCTCGTTTGCTCGTGAGTAAACAAGAACACACGGCTCTCTGAGCCCTATGCTCGGACGCTTGCGCATGCCCCTCGTTTCTGTACTCCAGCTCCGCCCAAAAGGCTCAGCATCTGGCTCCCCTTCTGAGAGCGCACGCTCGATCCCATGATTCCTGCGATGAGCCCACGTCCAAGTCTCCGGCAGGTCCTCCAACATAACGTAACCTCGATTGATGGCTTGTAAGGCCTCTGGGATCTTGCATCGAGGAACTAAGGGAATGTTTGTCAAATCATCCTCTCCAAGATGATCCAGATCTTCTATGGTTTCAACCCCAAGCGGACTCAGAGTCCTCACATACGGCGCGGCATTGATCATGTCCAGCGCGCTGAGGACGGGTTCCGGCTCTTGACCAATCATTGGCTCCGTCTCAGAACTACAGTCAGAGTTGAATTCTCCACGCGGAATCTCCTCCTCAGCAGCTACGTCTCCAGCCACGGCATGGTCATCGGCAAATTGAAAGGCAGTACCTACGGGGGAACTGGTTCAGGCTCACTCCATTGCTCACGGATTACACACATGATGCTGATGCCTTCGCAGTCTCTCTCAACAGTCGCGCCACATCTGAGTCACCGGGTACCGCTCTGACAAAGTGTGAAACATGCAACTGCCGTCCCGTGGAGGTCAAGCTGTTGAGCTCCTGATGCGTAAAACCGTCCCGAAAGCACTCCCGCGCTTGCCGCTCCAGTGCTCGCGACTCGTTAGGATTCAAGCGCTCGCAACAAGCGGGACTAGGAATCGTTAGAGTTTGACTACGCTGGCCCATCTCATCTTGTCCTAACCTGATCATCCAAAAAGAATCACGTGGAGAGAAAGGTGACTCATCAGAGCTGGCCCGAAACCCTGCTCGCATCATGCGCACGCGCTCGCATGTGTTCCCGATCCCTGAGATGCTCCTGCAAGACATGGTATGTCAGGAGTGTTGGCATTTTCGCTGCTGACGTAGTTGGGGCTGCTTTAGCCTTGCGTCTGCAGCTGCTATGGCTTCTGCGTTAGTTTGGCCTTGGCCTCCTTAGCCGTGGCCTTTGCTTTCGCTTCGGCGTCTGCCTTGGCTTTCAATGCAGCGTCGGCTGATTGATCGAGATCCTTTCCTTTCTTTGAGCACTTAGACCGTGCTGCTCCAGACGGGCCATCATGTGAGAATGGACAATCTGTCCACGTGAGTGCCCGTCTGGAGTTGGGTGGAACCAGCAAGGCCTTTTATCACCTCCCTTTCCACTGGCTTTCGCAATCAGATAATCACATACTCATCATCATGTTGTTGCTTGTTCCCGTGCCCCGCTGCTGCGGGCACGTCCTCATCTGCTGATACCTGACGTGCTTCTTGCTCCACCCAAAGAATGAACAACACTCACAGTCTGCTGTAAATGCAGCAGGTTCAGCTTCATGGTGAACAGCGGGTTATTCTTCTCGACAGTCTTCGAGAGATATTTGATCGTAGAAACTGTTTGATTTGGAGCTTGCGTGGTAGCTCCAAAGAGTGCAAACATGCTGCATGCGCCGTGGCTAACTGCCATCGTCTTAGCGTCGTGAGACTCCCACGTCTACTGGCCCCCCGACGGAAGCGACCGCATGAGCTGTTTCAATGATGCAATCTCTTCCCTTCGGAGGCATGTTCTGTTGGCACGAACCAGGCGCGTTGTTACGATGTTGGGATCAGGAGCGGCAGCAACACACGAAGGTTGCGCGTCAGGCGCTGAATGGTTTACCTTACATCACTTGGGGTCTCACGGGCCAGCGGACGCGGACATCATTGCAGGCTGATGCAGAAGCGCAGGGCCTCGTGCCTCGTACGTGGATGTTCGGCTACTTCGCTCAAGGTGGAGTTGATGGAATCACTGCGCTGAGCAGGGAGCAGCCGCATCTTTCTCGAGTACTCTGCGAGCTGATGAAGCGAGAACTTCCCCATCACACGAGCCTGGTTTTTGCCATTAGCAATACTCTTAAGCCTTAAGCATCATCGTGATTCACAATCCTCCTGAGACTGAAGTGGCCCTAATTCAATCTCAAGGTATGGCATGGGGCACAAGCCCATCACCAATGTACCTGCAGCTCTCGGCATTCATTCACCCCCAGTCGCTTCAGCAAGGCGAATCGCAACATCACTACAAATCTCAGCGAAGTGGATTCAGCGTTTCAACTCTTGCGCAGTCCGTAGCAGCTTCGGCAGCCACCACCAGCATGAGTCCGAGAACATCCGGTCAAGATGACGATACCGGCGATCACGCAGTGTGTGGGTTTGAGTCTGAGGGTTCGTGTGAAGTTTGTAGCGTTGCGTGTAGGTTTCAGGATGAGCCCGCACCAGAGCCTCCGTGTGTCGAGCCGATAGCTTGCGTGACTAGTACTGTTGAGTGTGGTCCTGCACCATCTCTTTTGGAAAAGGCGAGTCATGGTGCGTCTCCAAGCACTCAGACGGCTTGCGCAGCTATGCAGCAAGGCTCACTTGCGGATCTCGAGGTGTCCCAAGTGTGCGGAGGGGCACGGTCACAAACGCAAGTCGACCGCTGACACGAGCCATGTTTCCAAGTGCCCATGGACTTGTCAGGCCCTCATCGTCCAGCTACGTGTTCAAGTCAACGCTACTGTCTCAAACTTTATGCACTGCGGTGAGTTCCCTTGTGACATACCGTTCGTGCATCTGTCGCTAACAAACAAAACCAAGGAAGGAGCTCAAGCTTTGAAAGTTGAGTTCAATCATGCGCCAAATCGTGTCGCTCAGTCAGAGTCAGGGCGTCCCAGAAGCGTTCCGCATCCACGTGGGCAAAAAATTCGTCGGTAAGGCATTCGTTGCAGAAGTCCAGCGACTGAGCGTTTGGCCAACAACGACTGCTCCGTAGTCCCCTCAACAACATAATGGGAAGGCAGAACGGCTAGTAGGACTGATCAAATCTGCGGCTGCTTTGTTGTTGCACGGTAGGCTACCCCTGCGACTGTGGAGTGAAGCAGTCCGTGAGGCATGTTTTCTGCGGCGTCAGGAATCATTGCAGTTGCCACTGCCAGCTGATTGTCCCAAAAAGGGCGACACTGGTCAGGCGACCGGCAACGGTAGCAGAACCTTTCGAATCTTTCGAGCCTAGGGCCGGAGGCGGAGAAAGCCATCTTCCTAGCATGACGCGAGGACTCCAAGTGAAGCCCGAATTATGGTAAGGCGCGGAAAGGAGACTTCGGTTCGGATAATCGGTTTTAAGTGCTTATCGATCAACTGACGAAGCGCTGGGGGGTGGTCAAGGGACGTGCCAAAGGGCAGATGGTATGGGTTTCCACTGAAGGGATCTAAAGTGGGACGCTCCGCCAACAGACATGCTGACGGTCCAGGAGGCTGCAACGGACTTCATCAAGCCTGAAGTCGACGATGTCGCTGCCACGATGAAGTACAAGCTTGTTAATCCGGAGAGAAGAAGTGGTGGGGATAAAGTGTTTACTCAGTTACTCTATTTGGGCATGGCTTCCTTATTCACTCCCCTGATGACGTAGAGCCTAATGCAATTGCTGCACACGTGAAGGAGCCAGACGTCAAGCTGCGCCGTAATAACGAGGCCAAGGACAAACTTACATCCTTTCCTACAGCGTTGAGGAGGAGATGAATGCGCATGAGCGGACGCTGGCAACGCAAGCTCAAGCCGGTACGGAGGTAGGCGAAGCAGTTTCGCAAACCAACCTGACTGGAAACACCATTTCAGAAGCGGGCTTGGCAAAATGGCTCACGGAGGGCGCGGGCACAGAGCTTGAAAATCTTGCCAGCAAGGATGTCTACGACGAGGTAGGTAGAACCAAAGTAAGCCGACTCCAACGAAGTTAGTGCTGCAGCACAAACCGGTGGACAACGTTGCTGATGAAAATTTGAGGACGGTGCCTCGGCTGAAGATGCATCGTTAAAGAGTTGGTAGGCCAAGCTGAGACTGGTGATGTGTGGGAATTGGGAAAACGGTACGATGGACCATACCCCATGCCCCAAAAAACAGTTAGCAGAACCCTTGCCCATTTCGGGTAATAATACCACCAGTCAACCCATTAGACGCCCCCCTACACCTCACCAACGATATCACCGCTACTTCCCCATTACCAAGACCAGTATAGGAATAACCAATTACCCCATCCATATTCCCTAAGGTGGTATTATCATCCCGAAATGGGCAAAAGTTC